AAAATACTAGCCAATAGGATCCAACAGTACATTAAAAGGATTATTCACCATGACCAAGTGGGATTTATCCCTGGGCTGCAAGGTTGGTTCAACATCCGCAAATCAATCAGTGTGATAAAATACATTAACAAAAGAAAGAACAAGAATCATATGATCCTCTCAATAGATGCAGAAAAAGCTTTTCACAAAGTACAGCATCCTTTCTTGATCAAAACTCTTCAGAGTATAGGCATAGAGGGTACATACCTCAATATCATAAAAGCCATCTATGAAAAACCTACAGCGAATATCATTCTCATTGGGGAAAAACTGAGAGCTTTCCCCCTAAGGTCAGGAACGCGGCAGGGATGTCCACTATCACCACCGTTATTCAACATAATATTGGAAGTCCTAGCCACAGCAATCAGATAACAAAAAGAAATAAAAGGCATCCAAATTGGCAAAGAAGAAGTCAAACTCTCACTCTTTGCAGATGATATGATACTTTATGTGGAAAACCCCAAAGACTCCACCCCAAAACTGCTAGAACTCATACAGGAATTCAGTCAAGTGGCAGGATATAAAATCAATGCACAGAAGTCAGTGGCATTCCTATACACCAACAACAAGACAGAAGAAAGAGAAATTAAAGAGTCGATCCCATTTACAATTGCACCCAAAACCATAAGATACCTAGGAATAAATCTAACCAAAGAGACAAAGGATCTGTACTCAGAAAACTATAAAATACTCATGAAAGAAATTGAGGAAGACACAAAGAAATGGAAAAACGTTCCATGCTCATGCATTGGAAGAACAAATATTGTGAAGATGTCAATGCTACCTAGAGCAATCTACACATTCAATGCAATCTCCATCAAAATACCATCCACTTTTTTCAAAGAAATGGAACAAATAATCCTAAAATTTTTATGGAACCAGAAAAGACCCCGCATAGCCAGAGGAATATTGAAAAAGAAAAGCAAAGCTGGCGGCATCACAATTCCGGACTTCCAGCTCTATTACAAAGCTGTCTTCATCAAGACAGCATGGTACTGGCACAAAAACAGACACATAGATCAATGGAACAGAATAAAGAGCCCAGAAATGGACCCTCAACTCTATGGTCAACTCATCTTCGACAAAGCAGGAAAGAATGTCCAATGGAAAAAAGACAGTCTCTTCAACAAATGGTGTTGGGAAAATTGGACAGCCACATGCAGAAGAATGAAACTGGACCATTTCCTTACACCACACACAAAAATAGACTCCAAATGGTTGAAAGACCTCAATGTGAGACAGGAGTCCATCAAAATCCTAAAGGAGAACACAGGCAGCAACCTCTTCGACCTGAGCTGAAGCAACTTTTTCCTAGAAACATCGCCAAAGGCAAGGGAAGCAAGGGCAAAAATGAACTATTGGGACTTCATCAAGATAAAAAGCTTTTGCAAAGCAAAGGAAACAGGCAACAAAACCAAAAGACAACCGACAGAAGGGGAGAAGATATTTGCAAATGACATATCAGATAAAGGGCTAGTATCCAAAATCTATAAAGAACTCATCAAATTCAACACCCAAAGAACAAAGAATCCAATCAAGAAATGGTCAGAATACATGAACAGACATTTTTCCAAAGAAGACATCCAAATGGCCAACAGACACATGAAAAAGTGCTCAATATCGCTCGGCATCAGGGAAATCCATACCAAAACCTCAATGAGATACCACCTCACACCAGTCAGAAGGGCTAAAATTAACAAGTCAGGAAATGACAGATGTTGGAGGGGATGCAGAGAAAGGGGAACCCTGCTACACTGTTGGTGGGAATGCAAGCTGGTGCAGCCACTCTGGAAAACAGTATGGAGGTTCCTCAAAAAGTTGAAAATAGAGCTACCCTATGATCCAGCAATTGCACTACTGGGTATTTACCCCAAAGATACAAAAGTAGGGATCCGAAGGGGTACGTGTACCCTGATGTTTATAGCAGCAATGTCCAGAATAGCCAAACTGTGTAAAGAGCCAAGATGTCCATGGACAGATGACTGGATAAAGAAGAGGTGGTATATATACACAATGGAATATTATGCAGCCATCAAAAAGAATGAGATCTTGCCATTTGCAGCGACGTGGATGGAACTGGAGGGTATTATGTTGAGTGAAATAAGTCAAACAGAGAAAGACATGTATCATATGATCTCACTGATATGAGGAATTCTTGATTGCAGGAAACAAACTGAGGGTTGCTGGAGTGCGGGTTGGGGTGGGAGGGATGGGGTGACTGGGTGATAGACACTGGGGAGGGTATGTGCTCTGGTAAGTGCTGTGAATTGTGCAAGACTGTTGAATCTCAGATCTGTACCTCTGAAACAAATAATGCAATATATATTAAGAAAAAGAAAAAGAAGAAGAAGAAGGTAGCGGGAGGGGAAGAATGAAGCGGGGGAAATTGGAGGGGTAGACGAACCATGAGAGACGATGGACTCTGAAAAACAAACTGAGGGTTCTAGAGGGGAGGGAGGTGGGAGGATGGGTTAGCCTGGTAATGGGTTTTGAGGAGGGCACATTCTGCATGGAGCACTGGGTGTTATGCACAAACAATGAATCATGGAACACTACATCTAAAACTAATGATGTAATGTATGGGGATTAACATAAGAATTAAAAAAGAAAAAAACTCTGGGAAGACAAAAAAAAAAAAAAGTTAAAAATAGAACTACCCTATGATCCAGCAATCACACTACTAGGTATTTATCCAAAGAATACAAAAATACCAATTCAAAGGGATACATGCACCCTGATGTTTATAGCAGGATTATCTAAAATAGCCAAATTATGGAAATAGCCCAAGTGCCCATCAATTGATGAATGGATAAAGATGTGGTATATTATAGTGGAATATTACTCGACCATAAAAAGAATGAAATCTTGCCATTTGCAACAACATGGATGGAGCTAGAGAGTATTATGCTAAGCAAAACAAGGCAGTCAGAGAAAGACAAATACCATATGATTTCACTCTTATGTGGAATGTAAGAAACAAAACAAACCAGCAAAAGGGAAAAAGAGAAAGAGAGAGAGGCAAACTAAGAAACAGACTCTTAACTATGGAGAAAGCCCTGATGGTTACTAGAGGGGAGGGGGTTGGGGGATGCGGGAAACACGTGATGGGCATTGAGGAGTGCACTTGGGATGAACACAGGGTGATGTGTGGGTGTTGACTCTCTATCTTGTACACCTAAAACTAATATTACACTCTATGTTAACTAATTGGAATTGAAATAAAAACTTAAAAAAAAAAACAAATACAGTTGCAGTCAATAGTTTTGTGCGTATTTTTGCGTGTATGTCATGTGGACAGATTTGTGGAAGTGGAGTTGGTCAGAGTACAGATGCATATGTGATTCTGCTCCATATTGCTAAATACCCCTTCATAGAGATGACACCCTTTTGCATTTTGTAGGTGGGGTTCTCAAATGGAAGGCTCTGCCTCAGGGGGATCAGGAGGGCTGCTGTCTATTATCTTGGGCCCCTCAATGCCAGAACACAGAGTTCTTTTCCCTGGAACATTCGATTCCTTTAAGAAGTTGTCTGATTGTTTGTGTGGAGCAAGTATGTATTGCTTCCAGGCGTCTGTGTTTCCACATGTGTGTGTGAGGTATGGTGGCCAGGGGAAAGTGGCCGTGAGTACCCTTGCTCCATCTGTATGTCTTCTTCAAGTTTCCATTCCAGCCTCACATTTCACTTCCACCAAGGGTTTCTGAATCCCAAGTCTCTCTCTGTGTCCGCAAGACAGGCTGAGATCCTCTCCGAGTGTGATGCCGGCTCCGTCACTCCTGGTTGGGACGTCTGCTCACCCAGAGGTTGTTCTTGTGTCTCCGTCCATGGGATCACCATCCTGCAGAACTCTGCTGACATCTTTTGTCTCTTTGTGTCCCACCTCTTATTCTCTTTTCTTTTAAAGATTTTATTTATTTATTTGTGTGTGTGAGAGAGAGAGCGAGCTCACAAGCAGGGTGAACTGCAGGCAGAGGCAGAGGGAGAAGCAGGCCTCCCCGCTGAGCAGGGAGCTGGATGCAGAACTCGATCCCAGGACCCTGGGATCATGACCTGAGCTGAAGGCAGCCGCTTAACCGACTGAACCACCTGGGCGTCCCTCTTATTCTCTTTTCTATTGAGGGTTTATACCTTTTAAATTAATTTGGTACTATTTTCTGGGGTTGAGGTTGGAGAGGAGATATATAAGTTGTGTTATTCTACTGTTTTGATCCAGAAGGGTGCTGGAAGGGAGGATTAAAGCAATGGCAGGAAAGTGAGGGAAATGGTCAGGGAAGGTAAGACCTTTCTAATAATGGCTTCTCTGGAGTATGTATTAACCTCCACTTCATGATTTTTGAGAAACATAAGTGAAGGAGTTAGCTTATTTTGAAACTGCTTTTGGTTGCCAGATGGCGTATCTTTGGCTGGGCCACCCAGGTTCTCAACACATAAAGGATTAATGAACAACCGACTTAATTCTGAAAATAGAGCAGATCTTATGCTTAAAATTTGCAACATGCTAAAATACTGGATTCAGCCATCCTGCTTCCTGACATACATATGAGGCTTTAATTTTATTATAAAGCCATAGAACAAAAAACCCGTGCAAGGCATCTACAGAATTCTCTTACACTCTGACAATTCACTGGGACCCTTGAACATGCCATCAGTTTTCTCAGACTCCTTGCTTCCTCTAAGACTAAGGTACGAAATGAATGTTCATCATTATAGACGGGACATACCTCCTTGGCGCAGTCAGTGGCCTGACTACCATCTATCCAGGGTCAGACTTGTATCAGGTGCTGTGCTCAGTGCTGGGAACAAGACGATTGTCGTCAGGGGATCTGCAGTGCGGTGGAGGAGGAAGGGGAGATGGGCCAGCAAAGAGACAGTTATAAAATGATGTGATGCGTGCTGTTATAGCAGAATGTAGGGATGAGTCCAGGATTTAATTACCATCACTAACAATGTTCGTTTTTATATATGCTCCCTTTGACAGTGCATATATTAAAACTGAAGCAATACAGAGAAAATTGGCTAGGTTTCTGAGCAGAGATGACTTGGACACTCATGAGGCACTTACATTTTTGTGAGGCAGCCTGTTATAACTGAAATATGTCTGTGCTTGGTCTCCGAAGGTCTGGGTTTGATCTCTTTTTCTACCTCTAATTTCTATGAAACCAGTCCCTTAAGCCTCTCTGGACCTCAGTTCCCCCCATGTTTTAAAGCAAGGGAGAAGTTTAGGCAATTGCTGAGGACCTTCCATGTTGAACGTCTCGTGGGGTGAATTCCAGCTATTCCCCGATGTGAAACCAATAGCCCGGGGAAGACATCACTGATTCTCTTACAGACTTGGGCCAGATGTGTCTAAAGAGCCAACAGGATCTTTGCTGGGTGTCAGCGTTAGCTACGTGAAGTACCTTTTTGGAGAACAAACTCAGCAAGTTTAATGACAATGGGGTGATGTTGCTCTTCATTTCTGAAACCAGATTTGATGTCTCTTTGTGAAATGCTATCTGGAATATACATGCAGAGCAGAGAGAATACAGACTCCCAAATATTCATGGGCCAGTTCAGGTTACCAAGTCTAGTGTGGGCTGGGGGACACATTCTGGGGCTGTCAAAACAGCTTGAGTAAGGAAATTTGTGGATAGAGGCCCAAAGAAGTCTTTAGGAAATCTGGCATTCAATAAGATTTAGTCACTTGAAAGATAAAATGTATGTTTTGGTTTAAGAACATTTTTGAAGATTGTTCAAGTTCATGCTCAGGTCTATTGGAAACTCAGAGGTGAACCCAGGTCTAGCTCATCTCAAGGTGTATGCTCTTTTTTTTTTTTTTTTAAACATTTTATTTATTTATTTGAAAGAGAGAGAGCACACGGGTGGAGGGGGGGAAAGGCAGAGGTAGAGGGAGAAGCAGACTCCCCATTGAGCAAGGAGCCTGTGGGATCATGACTTGAGCCGAAGACAGACGCTTAACTGACTGAGCCACCCAGGTGCCCCTCAAGTTTTATGCTCTTCTACTCCTTGGTACTCTAGTTGGGGCAAGAATTGAACAATGCTTTCAGTGGGGCTTTATTTCTTTGTTTAGTATTTTTTTAATTTTAGTAAAATACACATAATATAAACTTTGCCATCTTACCCAATTTTTAAATGTATCCTTTAGCCGTATTAAGTGCATTCACATTGTTGCGCAACCAATCTCCAAAACCCCTTTCATCTAGTAAAACTGAGACTTTGTATCCATTAAATAACTCCCCATTCCCTCTTCCCCCAACCCCCAGCCCCTGGCAACCATCCTACTTTCTGTCTCTCTGAATTTAACTATCAGTTACCTCCTGGTAGTAGAACCAGGCTGTATTTGTCTTTGGGACTGGCTTATTTCACTCAGCATAATGTCCTCAGGATTCATCCATATTGTTGCCTCTGCTAGAATTTCCTTCCTTTTAAAAGATGAATAATTGTTATGGACTGAGTGTGTCCCTTAAATTCATATGTCCACCCCCAACCCCAAGTGGGGCTGTTTGGAGTAAGGAAGTAATTAAGGTTAAATGAAATCATGAGGGTAGGACTGTGATCTGATAGGATTAGTGTCCTTTTTAAAAAAAAATATATATATATTTATTTATTTCAGAAGGGAGAGAGAGAGAGAGAGAGTGCATGAGCTGGGGGAGGAGCAGAGGAAGAAGGAGAGAAAGAGAGAAGCAGCTGCTGATTGTGGAGCTTGATGCAGGGCTCGATCTCATGACCCTGAGATCACAACCTGAGCCGAAATCAAGAGTTAGATGCTTAACCAACTAAGCCACCCAGGTGCTCCAGGATTAGTGTCTTTATAAGAAGAGACACCAGAGAGCTCAGCCTCTGTGTGTGTTTGTGCATGTGCGCACATGCACCAAGGAAAGGCCACATGAGGACATAGTGAGAAGGTGGCCTTCTGCAAGCCAGGGAGAGACCTCTCACCAGAAACCTGCCTCCAGAACTATGAGAAAATAAATTAGTGTTATAGAAGCCACCCATTCTACGGTATTTTGTGACGGCAGCCTGAGCAGACCAATGGAATGATATTCCATTGTTTGCACCTACTACATTTTGTTAATCCACACATCCACTGATGGACAGTTGGGTTGCTTCCATATTGTGGCTATTGTGAATACTGCTGCTATGAGCTTGGGGTACAGATATCTTTTTGAGACCTTGCTTTCAGTTCTTTTGGGATATGTACTCAGAAGTGGCATTCCTGGGTCAGATGGTAATTCTGTGTTAATGTTTTGAGGAACCGTCATAGTGTTTTCCACACAGCTGCACCATTTTCCGGTCACCACCACAAGAGATCTAATCTCTCCCCATTGTCGACGTTTGCTATTTTCTGTTTGTTTGTTTTTTGGGTTTGTGTTTTTTGTGTGTTTTTTTTTAAAGATTTTATTTATTTATTCATGAGAGACAGAGAGAGAGGGGGGCAGAGGCAGAGGGAGAAGCAGGCTCCCCGCTGAGCAGGGAGCCCGGCCTGGGACTCGATCCCAGGACCCCGGGATCATGACCTGAGCCGAAGGCAGACACTTAACCAAGTGAGCCACCCAGGAGCCCCATGGGTTTGTGTTTTTTGATAGCAGTTATCTCACTGGGTGTGAGATGAAGGGCTTTCTTTTTAAGAAAAGGAAACTACAGTGGTTCTTAGCCTTTTCCAGAGCAGAGAATCTGAGAATCTGGTGAAAGCTTATGACTCCTCCCCAGGAAAATGCCCATAAACATACAATTTTGCATAAAATTTGAGTAAGTTCCTCTAAGGAGCCAGGAACTTCAGATTACAAATCCTTCATCTATCCCTAACGGTGTCACCATAAGGTACTCAATGGTCTAAAATACTTGCACTAGTAATTGTCTTTTCTATTTCTTCTATATATAGGTCTCTCCCAGTATCTGAAAGTAGAGCATTCTTATGAAACCTTTTGTAAGTCAAAATCGCATATAGCAAAGAAGCAATTACTATTAATTTATATGGGAAAAGTTTTGAGTGTTCCCAGACCCAAAAAGTCACCTCTCTTAGGCTTTCCTGATACCTTAGGAAAGACCTTGCTAACCGATGCAGAAAATAAATAGAAAATTAAGCACATACCATATGATCCAGCAATTGCACTACTGGCTATTTACCCCAAAGATACAAAAGTAGGGATCCGAAAGGGTACGTGCACCCCGATGTTTATAGCAGCAATGTCCACAATAGCCAAACTGTGGAAAGAGCCAAGATGTCCATCGACAGATGAATGGATAAAGAAGAAGTGGTATATATATACAATGGAATATTATGCAGCCATCAAAAGGAATGAGATCTTGCCATTTGCAACGACGTGGATGGAACTGGAGGGTATTATGTTGAGTGAAATAAGTCAAACAGAGAAAGACATGTATCATATGATCTCACTGATATGAGGAATTCTTAATCTCAGGAAACAAACTGAGGGTTGCTGGAGTGGGGGATGGGGTGGGAGGGATGGGGTGACTGGGTGATAGACACTGGGGAGGGTATGTGCTCTGGTAAGCGCTGTGAATTGTGCAAGACTGTTGAATCTCAGATCTGTACCTCTGAAACAAATAATGCAATATATGTTAAGAAAAAATGAAGAAGAAGAAGGTAGCGGGAGGGGAAGAATGAAGCGGGGGAAATCCGAGGGGTGGACGAACCATGAGAGACGATGGACTCTGAAAAACAAACAGGGTTCTAGAGGGGAGGGGGGTGGGAGGATGGGTTAGCCTGGTGGTGGGTATTGAGGAGGGCACATTCTGCATGGAGCACTGGGTGTTATGCACAAACAATGAATCATGGAACACTTCATCTAAAACTAATGATGTAATGTATGGGGATTAGCATAAGAATAAAAAAACCAAAAACAAAGCAGAAAAAAAAAAAGAAAATTAAGCACAGCTGCTCAGGGACACAGTTCAAAGCGCTGGAGGCTGACTTTGACATGCTGAGTGTAGTTCCGGGGGAAGGCGCTCGGGGGCGCCACTCTCCTGCTCCTCCTGCGCTCTGCGTCTATAGTGGTTCCCTGCAAAACAAACACTGAATATTGTTTTTGCTTTTCACTTTTTTTTGTAAAAGCAAAAATCATCTTAGTTTCCCTGTTTAGCAAAAACAGGTCCCAGGGTAGGTTGTTCTTAAAAATAAAGTAGCATAATGCAAACTTTTAAAGAGCAGGGGATGCCTCTCTTGGGCATTTACCATCTGCCTAGTGCTGGGCTAAATGTTTAACACATATTTTTCCACCTCACAACAACCTTATAGAGTAGATACAATCATTATTCCCATTTTACAGATGAAGAAACTGAGGCTGCTCAAGTTTCCCACAGAGAGTCTGCAGAGGAGCTGGGATTCTTTGAGCTTAAAGATTCTGGGGTCATTGGGGGAAATCTATAGATGCTGGATGAAGGCAGCACCCATGTCAGACGCCTGGGGCTTAGTGAGCACCCTCTTGTCTTTGTTGGGAGGAGGCAGATATTGCAATACTTGATCTTGTCCAAGCTTATCTACAGATGCCCAATCATGGGTCTTTGGAGACTTTCAGGAATCCCTGTCATTCCTGAATTTTCCTGATGCTGTAACTATCCCCTTCCTTCTAGGATTCCAAGGGCGTAGCCCTGTGTTTCAAGGATGAGGTCAACAGAGGAAGACCACCCAGAACTAATTCAGGATGCCACGTAGCACTGAGATATGTCAGACACAGAAGTGGAGAATAAGAGGAAAAAACAAACAATCCATGGGACTTCCTGTTTTTACTTCTGCCATGACTACTGTTCAAGGGCTCCCAGCTCTTAAGGGAAAGCCATGCACGGTCTATGCTGAACCTACTAAAACTTAAAGCAAGTGCTTGAAGCCTTCCCAGGGCTACTCATTTTCTTTTGTATTTTGTCTTTACAAATGGTAGCCATTGCTGGACCATGTTATGTTTACTAAAAAGGGGTGCTCTTGGCCTTGGGCTCAGAGCATCGGGGGGTGAGGGTGGTGGTGGGGGTGTCAACTCTCAGAGTGGGCTCCCCCAGCTCCACAGGATGCTGGGATCCAGGGAGGCTTACCTCCTTCTCCTTTGAAGAGAGA